ATAATAGAGAAATTTCCTAAGAATTTGCTTGGCACTGTGGTTATGAAGGTGATTAGTAAAATCAGTGATCTCAGGGAATTTATAGACTAGTAGGAAGGGAAGTTGTGCAGGTATAATGAACATGATTACACATTGAAAAGCAATCTGTACTGTGGCGCCAGTTTGCTGGGTATTAAGAATGACCAGGATGAAGAGCATGTCATGGAAACCATTATCTGCTTTACCACCTGCTGCTACTCATTCTCTGCCATTACGTTTAGCTGGGGAATTTTTCTTATTTATTTTTGTTGTTATTTGCTAAAGTGGAGAGACTTACTTGTTATTCAGGTGTTGTTCATTATTGCTTTTGAAGTCGTAATTGACTCTCACAACTTTAAAAAATAAAAACATAATAAATGCAGTGATTTTTTTTCAGAGATGGGGAAAACTTAAAATATTTAAGTAGTAAGCAGAATTCTCAACATATATCATTATTGTCTGTCATCCATTAGCCAAGACTGGTGTTGGAGTGGCAGTATAGAGCAGTTCTTTTGGTACTAAAGTTATGTGAAACCTTACATGAAAATCAATAACATACACTTCACAATAAAATAAAGTAAAAACATAAGCATACTATAGATGTACAGTTCATGATATTAAGCCAATATTTAAACCTCTGTGCTAAAGTTTTAACAAAGTATTTGCAGACTCACAATATTTGTCAATTCGTAAAGCAGACTGGGATGAGATGGTATCTCATTGTAGTTTTCATTTGGATTTCTCGCAATGATGCTGACTGTTTATTGTATACCTGCTGTTCATTTGTAGTCTTCTTTTGACAAATGTCTATTCGGATCTTTTCCATTTTTATCAGTTCTAATCATTTTTTGGTGGAGTTTTAGGTTTTCCTAAATATAAGATCCTATTATCTTGTAAACATGGATAATTTGACTTCTCCCTTCCAATTTATATGGACTTTATTCTTTCTCTTGTCTAATTCTCTGGGTAAGACTTCTAGCCATGTTTCATAACAGTGGTGAAGTGGTCATCCTTGTCTTGTTCTAGACTTAGAGTAAAGGCTTTCAGTTTATTCCCATTCAGGATGGTACTAGTTGTGGATTGTTGTATACGGTTTTATCATGTTGAGGTATGTTTCTTCCATGCCAGTTTGTTGGTGGATTTTTATCATGAAAGCCATGTTGAACTTTATTCAATACATTTTTGGCATCTATTGAAATGATCATATGGTTCTTGTCTTCATTCCGTGATATGATTTACACATTTATGATGTGCATATGCTAAACCATCCTTGCATGCCCTGGATAAATCTCACTTGATCATAATGAATGGTCTTTCAAATGTGCTGTTGAATTCCATTGGCTAGTAATTTTGTTGAAGATTTTGCATCTGTGTTCATCAAGGATATTGATTTAAGTTTTCTTTTATGTGTGTCTCCACCATCCGTCTCTCATTTATAGTCCAAAACATTATTTTTCAACTTCAGAATTAATTTGTAGTTGAATATTTTATGAATGTATTGTTAACTCACTGTACTTTATTTCAAAAATGTAATTTCAAAAATTATAAAATAAAAACTAGGACAAGTATAAATTCATTTAATATAATAAAATTCATTGTAATTTGTGTAGTGGAAGTAGTACAGTGTAAATGAAATTGTTATGCCTGAAATGTGGGAGAGGAACATGAGGTTCCTTATACTGCTTCTTCATTTTTATATATTTAGAAATTTCCTAATAAAAGTTAATTTCTTTCTGCCAAATGTTGTCTGAAATCAGAAAGAGGCAGAAAAATTACTTGTAATGAAAATTTGTCTGTCTGGACATAATGTGTTTTCACCCACACAATTTTCGGTGTGGCTTCTATATATGTGCATTTATGGTTCAAGTTGTATCCTTATTAAAGCGATGCAATTTTAAAACAGAAATGCTGTGCAGAAGCATATGTCAAATATGATTGTCTCTGTATGTGACTTCAATAACTTTTGGGTTGATGGGTAGATGCAAGTGGGCAGATTTGTTGAAAAGGCATTTGGTTTAACTGTTAATTTCTACTGAGATTTTGGTTATGTAATAGTTGTGAAATAGTGTACATTGACTTAAAGATCATTCTTTGCAAGGAGACATTGTAGCATTACCACTTTAAATATATGTTTACCTGGGAATAGTATAGTCATGGAATCCATGTGTGTTAGTAGATAGGTGTTTTGGGAGGATGGATGGAGAGAGCTCAGGGAGGAACTAAGGCTTAGCAGAAAGAATCCATAAAGAATAACTGTAAAATATGACTTCTTGATGTGCACATAGCCAAACTTAAGATGGTTCGTGTTATTGAAGATGTGACCTGTTATTGAAGATATGACACTCAAATGGAAATGCTCAACAGTGAGGGGAATGTCTCTGAACCTGACCACAAGAGAGAAAGCAGCTGACAGGTCAGTAGGAGAAGTAATAAGCCCTAAGAAAAGCATTCATAATTTGCACTTGTGTGAACTGAGTGATCAATAGAATTCTAGTGTGGTGGATTGTTTAGGATCAGTGATTTAAGAGGACATAAGAAAAAGAAAAGAAAAAAATTGACTGCAAGATATAAGGTACTTTACTGATTTTTTTTCTTTTCTTTTTTATTTCGGCATATTATGGGGCTACAGATTTAAGGTTTCAATAAATGTCCATTTCCCCTCCCCCCACAAGTCTGAGTCTCCAGCATGACCATCCCCAGATGGTGCACATCTCACTCATTATATTAGTATATGCCCCCTCCCCCCTCCCACCTGCCAATACTACTATCTGTAGTACCTATGTGTCCACTTAGTGCTGCTCAGTAATACCATTTGCTGGTGAGATATATGTAGTGCTTGTTTTCCATTTGGGAAACTTCCCTTAATATATGGGTTCCAGCTTAACCAGGAAAATAAGATGTGCTATATCACCATTGTTTCTTAGAGCTGAATAGTACTCCATGGTATACATATACCACATTTTATAATCCATTCTTGGATTGATGGGCACTTGGGCTGTTTCCACAGCCTTGCAATTATGAATGGTGTGCTAATAAACATTGAGTGCAGGTCTCTTTTTGAGAGTGTCATTGGATCTTTTGGGTAGATGCCAGCAATGGGATTGCTGGGTCAAATGGTAGATTCACTTGTATCGCTTTAAGGATCTCCATATTGCTTTCCACAGAGGTGAACTAATTGCAGTCCCACCGCAGTGTAGGGATGTTCCTTTCTCTCCGCATCCGCCAGTTTATTGTTTGGAGTCTTTGATAAAGGCCATTCTCACTGGAGTTAAGCGATATCTCATTGTGGTTTTGATTTGCATATTTTAAAATATTTAAAAAATTAATCACAAACTATTCTACAATTCTCTGATAAGTTGAGATATCCAAGGATTAAATCAACTGAGCAGACTAGGTTTCTTTTGGTTATCTTTTGGATGTATTATTTTCTTCCATTTATCCATTTTTCAAATCACCAATTATTTAATGATTGCCTACTAAATGTCAGTCACATAGGTATAAGGCTAGAAAAATACATAGAAATACATGATTAATTCGATATTTGTATGTAATTCTGGACTGATTATTAATTGGGACCATGTATTCTATGTTGGAGAAAGAATACTAGCATGGTGGTTAGCATGAAGTTTTTCTCCAGAAAAAAAAGAAAATTAGTTAGAAAGAGATCATTTACAGACCGAATTAATTTTGACAAAAGAATATTTTGTCTGAAGAAATAACTATAATAATAACTAAAATTATATATTAACACATGGATATTTCTTTTATATGAAACAGAATGAAAAATTAGCATTTTAATAAACATGGTTATAATATAAATGAATAATTATCTCACCAACAAATTATCTCACACACAAATTAGAAATTGAATGCTTTTTGTTGGGCAAAAAAACATGGAATCTTTTATTATGATTCTTTGCCAAATTATTCTGATACAATCTTGTTATTTTATAATAGTAACTAGTACTATACTATTAAATAATTTGTAATCAATATTCAATGACAATTAAATGAGAGATAGAATATGTATGTGCATAAAATATTATATTTACACCTAACTTGGTACCTACATGTAATTGGTCATAAATAAATATTTGATAAATGAATGAATGAAAGTGATTCTCTAAAATAAATGACCAAATCTTCCTTCTCATATTGTTAAGTAATTCTATTATTGAAAACTTAGTAAAGACAATCATGGAACCATACTAACTGAAATATAAAATGAGCCATTGCTTTTTGAAATCTTTATTTCACCATTATTTTTCATTCTAATTATTAATAGTTAAATATGTAAATGTTTATCATATAAGTATCTTTGTATCCTGTTTCTTTAAAGAGACATTCAGAACAAAGGGGGAAAGAACAATAGCGAAAAACAACTAAGACAAGAGGGAAGAAAGATTCAAAATGAAGCTTGTTCATCCCCTCACAACATATATTGTTGCCTAAGGCCACACAAACAGTGATAGGCACTGCAACACAGAATAGGGAATGAAATTTTAGAGTCAAAGACTCAGCTTGAAATTGGCTGTTCTGGGCTTTATTCTCATAATAGTCATTCAGTGACCTTCAATGAGCCACTTTATTTGTGTCTAAATGCCCCCATCCATTTTAAAAAGCTTATGATACAGAAATAATTTACAAAGAATTGTGAGATTTTCAAATTCAGGAGTTAAATAATGCAAACTGATATTCCATGGTAAATTAACAGTGAGGCAAAACAGTTTCTGGAATCTTTATCTTATGTTTTAAATTGCTTCAGTTATTTTTCTCAGTAAGCCTCATTCTCAGCAGTTCCCCTAATAACTGTGTTCATTTCTTAATAAAAATTCTTAATGCCAAGGGCAGTGCTTTGTGTTTGTTTGTTTTTCTCATTCCCTCCCCACCCACCCCCGCCCCGCCATTTTATTATTTTTTTTTTGGTTATATGTTTTTCTAAAATAGTACTTCATGATAATTTATATTTTTTTCTTTCAAAGAGCCAGGAAAAGCTCCTGAAACCAAACAAGAGACTATAAAAGTTGCAGTACAAGGTAAGCAATAAAACGCTTTAAAAATTTTGTTGCCCTCTTATTGTTTTTTTTAAGTTCATAGCACTTATTGACAAAAGCAAAAGCTGTTTATTGCAGAATAGCACCATCTGCTGGGTTATTATAGAACATATGTTGCATGAAGATACACATTTCAAGTATTTATTTAGTAATTGAAGCAAGCATGACTGAGAGTAATGCCAAGTTGCTAGAGAAGCTGCTAAAGGACACAATAATTAATATCCTTGCTCCAAGTTTTAGTCATTCTGCTTTAACATATATTTCTAAAAATAAGCCATAGATAAATATATAAAAAGATAGATACAGCTATAAAATAATATATACATTTTCATAGTTTTCAGTATATTTTATAATTTATCATATCAAAAAATAAGCCAGAATGTTATTAAATTAATATTACTTCATAAATACCCAAATTGCAAAAATCTGGTTTCAGATATGGCTATAAATTAATTACTGTATTTTTATGACCCATCTAAGAAAATTAGTTTCATCACTTACTAATATCTTTGGGGAATTAAAAATGGTTTATCTTCAAAACATGACAAGAAATTTAATGAAAGTATAGAGGAATGGCACAAATGTTTTGCCTTTTTCATCTAAGAGCACACTTAGAAAATAAGAGGTAAAATATTTCCTGGAGAAGATCTTTATCTTCTTTCCTATGCTAGATATACAATAGCAACCAATAAAGGAGATACATATAGGCAGCAGTACAAATGTTTCTGGGAAGAAGGCCATTGTAACAGACTTCTTAGAATATCACATTATATAGGTTCAATGTTTGCATCTGATCAAAATTTTTCTGCAATATTTAACCCTGGACCTAACTATATGCAGAATTATGCTAATAAATATGGTAAAATGGGTTTGCTAAATGCCATTTGACTCAATTATGTTGCTTATTAACAATATATGCTAGAATGGTTAAGTGCTATAATACCAGATTTTAGTTTTATGTTGATTACCAGTTCAATAAAACTTGCTTATCTTTAAGAATGTTCTGATGGTCAATATAACAAATATTATAGGAAGTAGAAAGGCAGGGCAAATATTAACACCTCTGTTTTTTAATAGATGAAAATGCAGCTCAGAGTGAATTCCTCAAACAAATGACTACCAGTTTAAGGAATCATTGCTGTTAGTGTATATATATTCTCATAAAAAATGCAATTAACTTCTGTTTTGACAGAGACTTCTGAGGACCATGGTATAGATGTGGAAATGTGACTTGACGCAGGAATTTAGTGTTACTTCAGCCTCATATTAGGAGAGTTCAAGAGGAGTAAATTGAAAAGATATCTAAAAAGTTGCTTCTCATTTGGCCTTGGGGCTATGGGCTCTTTGTTTTAACATTTAAATTACATTGGACAAAGCAGCCTAAGAACTTAGACTTCTGGAATAAAAGATTTTTTATTGACTGAATAGTAACCTAGAGTTTCAAAGTTACTATATTATTACTATCCTTGTAAGGAAATTTGATGAAAGTATTGATTGAGCACAGTGAGCAAAGCAAGAGTTGGGTACTGTATGTACATATTAACTAAAACAACAATGATGCACCAAAGCAGGAACACACCAAAGCAGGAATACATATTATTTGTGTCATTGAAGATCCTTCATAAATCTTTCTTAAATTTCTTTTTTAACACCATAGGCATATAGTTAAATTATGCATAGAAATATTATTTTCAGGTACTCCATGTGGAGACAGAACTTAAACACATTTGGCATAATTTTGTAGTAGATGGATGTTTTTGAAGTATCAAGTGACAAAATTCATAATGATGTGAGTAGTGTGGTAAAAAGCTAGATTATATGTGTTCTTGCATCTACTCAACTTTTCTAACAAAGGAAGTATTACAAAATTTGGTTTTATATAAATATGTATGTATATATGTTCATTTATAATTAGTATTAAGATTTATCACATTTACTTTGGAAGTACATTTTAAAAAATTATTTAGCAAAGTTTTGAGGTTCTGATAAGAAAGACTATGAAATAACATATCTCTTTACTACAGTAATTTACAATTTGGAGATATAAGAAATTTAAGTAATATCATAAGTAGAATATTGTGTAGTACTGAAATGAATTGCAGAGAACTTAAATGCCATATGAGTTAAGACAAAGTGATTTTTAGTAAGAGTTGGGAGTTGAGGGAGTCATCATGGATGAGGGGTGACTTGACTTGGGTTGGGACTGGCCAAGGACAAAAACATTGCTGGTGGATAGGTGGCTTAAGTAACTATGAAAAGAGCAATAACTATGAAAGACTGTTGCTGTTATCAAGACAGGAGACAATGACCTCAACTATGATGGTGGCAATTACATAAGAAAAAAAATGTTTGATAGGATATATAGAATGAAACAAAAGAAAGAGTAAAAATGGTGCCAAGCTTTGGAGCCTGGGTGAATAGGAAGATGGTAATTGTCATAAATAATAAGTTCCAGGCCGAGGAATTCACTTAAGGGGAAAGATTCAATCTTTAGCTGATTAATGTTGAGCAGACCAAGAATAATCAGGCAGTGATTTTTCTGTAGCTAATTAGAACTTAGGTGGGAGATCAATCTAGTTCATAGGTATTACATAAGATATTGTGTTGAAGAAATGGAATATAGAGCTAAATTAGAAAGGAAGATTAGAAATAAGAAATTATTTTTTAATAAGTTAGGTGCAATGGCTGGTAGACATCTATTGAGAGTAAAATGCCTGAGAAAGGAGAGAAGGCATAATGGAACTTGGCTTAAAAGATGGAACTATATGCACTCTGTGTTAGTGTGTTTTCACTGTCTTTTTTCTTCTGCATTCCTAAAGAGAATATTGAAAATTTCGTATATACAACAAAAAGAAGGTAGAAAGAGAGCAAAAAATAATAAAAACCTGAAATATTAGCCATTAAACTCTCATTAGAATGTGAAAACCAAGAGCCCAATTATTGAGAACCATATCAACTCATTAAATTCAGAAGTACCCAACCACATAATCCAGGTAAGTAGATTAGAATCAGGCAAGATAAGCAGAGGGACAGCGTCAGGACATGTGGAACACAACCATTCTGGAAACAGTTGGATCCCACCACCCTGGTTTTGATTGGCTCCTGGCTTTCCAGATGGCAATGAATGAAAGACATCCACCTTCAAGGTATCCAGGGCAATTCGAGTAGGCAGGGTCAGTTATGACAGAATAGTTCAAACTCCTTCATTCAGCTCTTTTCCATTGTCGCTATAAAGGGAAAACTGAAACTATCAAAGAATATAAGAATGGAAAAGAGGAAAATGCATGTACATACATGCATGCCTGCACCAGCACATGCATATGTACAGATTGCTCTTCTTGGATTATCAGAAAATTTCAGTGTAGCTAAAAAAGATTTTCCTAATTCTTGAAGGGATTTAAGTTTCAGAGCCTTTTTCTTCTTGTAGAATTTATAACAAATAATGGTTTTTCAAACTGTATTCACATTCTCAGCAACTTTTTGGCATTGGCCAAAACCTTAGTAGAGTTGCCCTTCAGAAGTGGGTTTATGGTTAAGCTGATAAAATTTATGCTCCAGGGTACTCACTGGCCAGAGCCCCTTCAAGGACCTGAGGATAAAACACGACAATTATTTGTAATTTTATGTTGTTTGTTTTATTGTGTTCTTCTTCATGCCAACCCTCTAAGCCAACTTGCTTTGTAGATTATACTTAAATAATGGGAAATATTGTGGAGATAATTGTAGGAGAAAAAGCAAAAAACCTCTTGTAGTCTCTAGTAGGACAATGTCATTTTACCATTTCTTTTCCTTATTTTACAAATTCTAGACAAATTGTGAACATTCATGTGAATTCTAGAACCAAAATGTATACTTGTTAGATGAGTTTTAAAATTATGAAGTTTTTAAAAGGAAATTTTTGTTTGCAAACTAAAGAATGGAGAATAAAGAAATCTATTGAGTCAAACTCACAGTACTTGTTGAAATTATGCCTTGTGGCTTTGAAATCTATCAGACAGTGCCCACATCTTTTAATTCATTTTACCATTATTTTTATTACTATTCTCTTTACATCATTAGAATAGACAAATCTTTAATTTAAAAACATTATAGGTATAAATGCTTTATAAATTTTGTATATTATTAGTTAAAACCACATGAAAAAGAAATAAATGTCACAAACTAGAGTTAATTTATTTGTAAATTCGTGGTTTTCTACAAAAGTAACAGTGTATCAGTAATATCTAAAGTAGAGAAAAACAACCTGTAATAAATTAAAATATTATTTCTTCCTATCTTTTGTTCTTGATTTTTAGAGCCTATTCTGCCACTTACTCTCTGTATGAACATGTGCAAATCCATTTTAATGTCTCTAAGGCTTAGTTTCTTGCTTTCAGCTGCCTTTATTATAACACTGTTGTGAAGACCAAATGAAAGGATGTATCTGAAAGTGCTTTGGCAATTGTAGCACAGAATAGATGTCCACAATAGTCCTGGATGTTGTCACTAAGTGGTCCCCAATATTCTATCTCACTCAGGTGGGATTACTGTCCTGGGAAATGCATCATCTCAGATTCAACTAATGTGGCCTAAGACTTCTCTCAAAGGGTTTGTCTCCTAAATGAATAGTACACAGAACCAAGGGTCATCTTGCTTGCAACAATCCCAAGCTTACTGCATACAAATGTTTCTGGTAAAACCCATAAGCTACACTTTGGGTCTAGAGTTAGATTCATGATCCAGAATGGGATGAATGCTACCATAGAGGAAGTAAGAATTCAGAGGTGATTAAAATGTTCTGTGCCTTTCCCTCTATGTAAAAGATGGCATGAATTTACCAAAAGGAGGCTGAGGTATCTAGTTCCCCTTCCTAAAATAAGACATTTATACACTGTTATTGTAAATGCAAATGTAGACTATACATTGCTATGAAATTCCTCAGTAGCTAGGCACAGATAATTTCTGGAATATCACCTTCAATTTTTTATTGATCCAGTCATAGTCTGTGTTTTATGACCTCTTAGAAGTAATTGTGGTTTTCTCAGGTGTAGCAATTTAAACCCTAAAATAAACTTATACTAAACACATACTTATAAATTTGACTTTCTATGTAACAATTTATTTTTATTCTTATTTTGCCATAAATATATCTTTATTTCTAGGTTTTAAAATAATCTTCATATGAAATAATAGTTTCAGTTTATATCAATTACAGATTTGGATTGATTAGTTAGTGCATAGTTGACCACTGAATTTATGAATGCATAGAATACATTCTCATATTCTTAGGAGTGTTCTGAAGAATGTTCATTTAATATTTTTAATGCTATTTTCCTTTCATTATTTCAGCAGCAACTAAAAAGGATGAAAAGAAGGAAGGTATGTTTTATTCAAAATCCCACTGTGCCTTTTGTTAGAACAATTTACCAATATTCCCAGTTGGATTTTGACTGCTATCCTGACTATATTCCCTTTGGATAACTGGTTCTATTATGTGCATACATTTTATATGAATGTACTGTTTCTACCTCACGTCACACAAAAGGGTGGGCTACTTTTTAAAAGTAATTTTAGTTGAGTCTTTCCCAAGATACAAGGGATAAAACATAGCCTCTCAAAATCCTAGGCCTCCTACTCTGTTGGCAGTTTCATTAAATTTTAAAAATATGTAAAATACAAACCCCATTCTCATTGGCATTCAAACAAAAGTATTAAAAGCCTTTTGAGTGCATGAAAAAGTCAAATTATAATTTCACAGCTTTAAGCTTTATATCTGTTTGCCCCCCATTGCCATGCCTGTAGGATTTTTTTTTTGTTCTATTTTTCCTGGCTTATATATCCCATTTTCTTTTTCTTTCTTTTTTAAAAAAGTTGTCCATAATCAATATGCAATATTAGAATAGTTTGGGCAGAACTCTGCACATGTGGATTCAAGTGATCCAGTGTCCATGACAGGCTGCAAAACATAAAACAGTCACCTTATAGACACCAACACTGAACTACTGGTGTGAGCTTTAATCCCAGTTTTTCCTATGTCTCTGATATTTAGTCTTCCTTAATTTTCAATTTGACTTAACATAAATCTTCATTCACAGCTTCCAGTTATCCCATGGCAACTTCATGTTGTCATTTGTGACCTCTCATTGAGCTCCTCACTGAGCTTCCCTCCTTGTGTGTTCTGGGAGGATCACAAGGCATCCTGCCAAGACTCAAATTTGCTGTGGTTCAAACCTTTGCCTGCCTGGCCTAGCCTCCACAGCATGTGCAAGGTCATCAGGGCTTCCTGGTGGAGCTGTTACTCTGTACTCCTGCTCACTTTCTTCCTCTGTACCAAGAGACTCTATTTTACACATATAATGTGCCAGCTTTCATTTGCTTTTGCTGTTATTCTAACAGAGCTTACCTTTTTCTTTTCATTCTATGAATATTCAGTATTTTTATAGCTCAGAATAAATTCTCCTTTCTCTGAGAAATCTGTCTGATCCTACCAATTAAAAACACTTTCTCTCATGTATAATCTTCCATCTGTATCTCTCTACTATCACTTATTTCTTGCCACCTTGTACTTCATGTTTCTTTTATTTATTTTTCTTTTACTCTAATTGGCATAAGTATTTTGACTAAAGGGACCATGTCCAATTTGCTTTTATTCCCTATAGGGACTAACATGTTTCCTCCTTAGCTTGCATATTGCTCAACAAATATATACTCTGTGAATGAGTCAGTAATATCTAGGACTATTAAGATAAATATAATAGCCACAAGAAATATGGATAAGTACCCATTTTCTAATATAGCAGGCAAGGAATGATTTATTATTATTATTATGAGGTATATTTCACTGAGCTTTTTAGGTTTGGAAAATCATAATCAAGTACTGACCATTTCATCATATGTGATCACTAGCTGCTATGTGGGTTTATACTAACAGATCTAGGTAGATCTCATTCATCTAAATTCAGCTTAATTGATGAATTCTTAAGGGCTGGAATTCCGGGAATTCCAGGTTATATTCTGAAGAATACAATTCCACTGAGAATTGGCTGGATTGATTTATTGTTTACTATAACTAGAGAAAGTAGAGTTGAGTACTTGTGAGAATTAGTTCTTGGTTCTAGGGCTTCAGAATTGAGATCTGAAGAGGAATCATGCTGAAAAACAGAGCAAAATGTCTGGTATTGTAATTGAATAAAGATATCAATCAAGCAGGTTCCACAAAAAATAATGGGATACTCCATTACCAGCAATAGTAGAGTACCCAAAAGTCAATTTTTTTCCTTCAATATAAATTGGTACTTTATTTTCCTCTGGCATCACTTGTGAACACAAAAGACCATACCTGATATATCGCTAAAGATGAGTGAATGACAGATTGAACAGATTGCAAGCACACCACTGCTTTTCAATCACAGGTGCTGGGGGCCTTGATGTTCTTAATAAAAGACTATTGTTCAGATTATTGGGCAGATGGTCTTGAGGGAAGTATATTCACCAATAAGCCTTCATAATATTTTTAAGCTGTTTCAGCAAAGATTGCTGAAAGGGCATGATGAAGTTTAATAGCACGAGTATTACTGTCTAGTACTAATAGCTCCTCAGGGACAATAAGTGATCTTTCAATATGAACCAGTATATTCTTTGATTGCTCAAATACTTTGCTTGTATAATTTAGTTGCACTATTGACTCCTAGAGAAAAGACATAACTTTATGATGACATTTTAAGTAAATTTCACTATAGCTCTCAGTTATTACAGCATATATATAGAACTTTTAAAAGACCTACTTGGTAAGATCATGGCTCATTATTTTTTACATTTCTACTTGAAGAAATGTTTTATTTTATCTCAATAAGTGCTATCATTTACTTGATGCTGGACTTCATATTATGTTTTATTCTTTCATTTCATTACAACTGATATCTAATAAAATATATTATTGATTCTTATTATTAGTGAGAAGAAAGGCAGATTACAAATAACAGACATTTCATAGATACACATATGGTATTGAGCTTTTGATACCTACCCCATCCCAGCATCAAGTCTGAGAATTGGAAATTATCTTGTTCTAACCTGTCATGTTTCATCCTCTGTTTGTTCCACCACTTTCCCCAAGCTTTATGTTCAATTTATTCCCGAATGACCATGTGCTCTCCATAATCTTCTTGTGTTTTCCATATTTATTAGCTATATTCTGGACTCAAAAGATTGTTCAGTGAAGATCACATAGCTATTTGGGCAGGCTGAAATCCTATTTCAGTATACTAGAGTCAAACTACTTGATAACTCACAATGGGCATTGACCTACCCACTTTATATTTTCAGCTGTTGTGCTATAAGTATCTATGTTTTAAATAGAAGTGGCCACTGCATATTATTAATATATATTTAGGCATATGACAAAGATGCTATTTGTCATGCTCTTATATGAAACTTTTATATATTTTTCTATATATTTGAATTGCTTGCTAATCCAATCAGCATAATTACTCAAGAAGAAAATGAATGAGAAAATGCTTGCAAAGCATGTATGTTTTAGATAGCAAATTTAGCCTACTCAGTTACAGTTCCTGATGAGAAACTAAATTGCAAGAAGAAGATTTTTTTAGATTGATTTTCAGAGTGGGGATTAATTAAGAAAAATCTAGTCTAAAATTATTTTTATTGTACCATGCTGGACACAATAGTGTTTAATAAATGTTTGCTGAATAAATAAATGTTTTGTTTCAGTAACCTATTATTTTTCAAATCAAGGTTTGCTTTATTTTCCCCCTCATACATTAAACATATCCTTATTATAGAAAAATTAGAAATTCAGAATGAGGAGGAATAAAACCTTGCCTAATTTCTTAATCTCTACACAACTACCATTAGTCTGTTGGCATATTTTTCTCTAATCTTTCTTCACGTATATACTCACATGCACACAAAAAGTCATTTTATGATATACTTTTTTAAAAATTTTGCTTTATTCAATTTATGCTATTTAGCTAATATTTTCCAGATTTAATATAATTTAAAAACCATCATTTTAATGACTGTGTATTTTCTATTGTGTGGATATGCCACAAATTCTTGAACAATTCCCCTTATTGCTCAGAGGATGCTGTTTAATATTTCCATTATTTAGAAGTACAAAGCAATATCATGAAAAAGCATCTTTCTACATATATTTTTGTGATAATATTGCATTTTCCTCTTTATGTTTCTAGGAATAGAATTACTACATCAAAAAAGCAATGACTTTCAGGTTTCTTCTAAGTTGCTATTCTAAAATGTATTTCCAGCCGACACTGATATGGAAGTGGGATGTTACTTTCACCATGGCTATCATTTTTTCATGAAACAACTTTGTTGACCATTTAACTGTCTTTTGTGAATAGACAGTGAGTACATTTTTCTCTTCAAACAGTTAAAGTCTATTTTACTTCTTCATGGAAGTAAAATCATGATACCTCCACGTCACTATAAAGTACACAAATCCATTAACTTTCAAATTATTAGTGAATATCTACTGTTCTAGGTTCTAAGCCAGAAAATTGTAATACAGAAAATAATTTATCACTTTTTGCAAGTATTAGTTCATAGTTCATTATTATGGTTCTAATTTCAATAGTACAGAATTTCAAAACTAAGTTACAAAAGAGGCAAAAGAAAGGACAAAAAAGACAAGAAGTAAACTGTTCCAAGCAAAAATTTTGAGTTAAGTTGCTTCCATCCTAAAATAAATGAGGTCAAAAACCTCTTGTTTTTATTTTCAACTTATAGGAACACAGAGTTTCATGGCCTGAATAATGGAAAATAATAAATTTCTTGAATCTAGGCTGAACACTCATCCACTAAAAATAAAATAGATGGTTTTTGGCCACTAGATACACAATACGACATAGCAGTTACAAATATAATAATGTATTCATAAGTAACCCAAGAGCCAACACCAACCTATTTCTTTTCCATTACAACAGAAGTACCTGAATATTGGCTTTGGAGGTGTATTGATTATTCAAAGAGAGTACAATGCTGTTCGCCTGGACTACCTTAGATTAAACAAATGAAAAAACTTCAAACTAACTGGACCATAAATTTACTGACTTTGACTTTTTATTAAAAGGTCATTAACTTCTATAGGCATGATGCAATCTCTGTACAAATTATAGATGGATATTTTATTCCATTGTTTTCAATATTTTATACTTCAAAAAGTTTCTCACCTTCTGCCTCATTCTAATACTCATTCTCACAAAAGCAGAATAGTTTCTCTTTAAGCCTCATATTTTGGAAATATATCATGCAATCAATTTATTTTGTTGAAAGATATTTCAGTGCTTATGGAAATTTGTTGTGAGCTAATAATTTGTTGATTTATCACATTTATTTTATCAATACTTTATTTTTGTGTTTTCAGATTCCAAGAAAACCAAAAAACCTGCAGAAGGTACTGGAAATATTTCCTTTTTCTGTTTTATATTTGAGGAACCCTAAAAAATAACATTATTTCTTAAGGATTAACATACAGAAAAAATATATATATATAGTACAGATGAGACAGAGAAAAATGTTATGATTAGTAGAGAGAATAAGAGAAAGAGTAAAATCTTTTTTGATAATACTTCTATGAAAAATACATGGCAGTAATAAGGAATAAATACTGCATATATTTACCTTTCACTGTAATTATTTTTAAAGAAATATTTACTTGGCAAGAAATTGAACCATGTTTAGTATCAAACATTTACTTTACTAGAAAGCATATATTCAATTAATTTTGGATACACCAACATCAATTAGGAACTAAATTGTTCCTTTAAGTCTTGAATGGAATCATAACTTATTCGGCAAGTATATCTGTGTCCTTGGTCTTGTTCCTGTGTGTTTATGTGTACAATAAGTTTATGTTGTTCACATGTGTTTAAGAAGACTACTAGGTATAAATAATTTAAAATGTTTAACCAGTATAATCCAAGCTTAATTCATTGTCAACTAATGTTTTTCAATCAAATTATGGAAGCACCTATGATAAGTGACAATGCTACAGAGCACCATTCACTGTGAAATGTAAGGGGAAAGAATGGGGAGGGAGGTTAGAAAAATTATGGTCTAATCTAAATGTTGGGTAGTAAATTTTATTTTTAAAGGTTTTAAGAGCAATGACTTTCTGTTTATATTTCTTTCAGCAGAACAACCCAAGAAAAAAAGTAAGGAAATGCATGAAAAGTGTATTTGGGTACACTTTTTTCTTTTTATTGCTATTATTGACCTTGTGATGTATTAATATTTAGACCTGCAGTGTTGAATTTGTCTTGCCTATGTTTTACGCATGTCAACTCTGGTTGTTGTTTTGTCAAAATTAAAGAATACACAACCTGCAGGATTAAAGTAGACTGAAAAATCAGAAATCATTGTTAGAGCCCGTTTTCAAACTTATACAAGAATCTAGTAACACTATGCACAGGTTCATAATGAAAAATACAACTGAATTCTATTAACCCAAACTGTCATGATTTTGTAAATCTCTCAGTCCTCAGAAAAGACTGAACAAAAGTTCTTTGCCAGGCTACTTTTACAACTTCTTTCTCATTATTTGCTTCTTCTAATCCATAAATATTTTGGCATGTTCACATGATCTATGACATTTTGTCCCTAACATGATTTTGCCCTCATAGGCACTATGGGCTATGTCTAATAATGTTGGAATCCATATCTTAAGTCTTATCCACTGTTGCTTTAACGTACTATTAAACCTGTTTGTTAATAAATCAGTAAAACTCAATATCTTGAGATTGCGTCTTTTGCAAATACAGGCTCTTCTCTAAAGAAAATACAAAATATTTAACAAATGAAAACAAAAACCAACTTAACCCTATCAAAAATCAACACATTTCCAGGAATGTAGAAGTTTTACGATCCTACTATCAAGGACATTTTCTAAAATGCACACCAATTTTTAAAAACATTTATGTATGTTTCAGCCCTGCAAAAAGTTAGGATACTGAGACATTTTATGTCATAAAAATGCTCTAAAATGTGCTGTGGAGAGACTCATGAAATTATACTACAACTCAGCCAGGGGGAGCAATCCATCTATAGAGAAGTATGTGTTCATCAGTCTTAGATTTATTTGTGTGCACAGTTGCTGGTAAGTACTGGCATAGGAAGACAGAAATCTCTCTATAAACAACTGCACCAGCAGGAAAATGGGGGACAACTGGAGATTTGAAAAATGGTATTACATTTTTATACATATATAAATAAAACTTAAGGCCCTCACTTTATTGCAGTCTATATGATTTAAAAGCTCCTGCTGACACACTGCAATTCCTTGGCAATCATCAGGGCATTGATGTATTTAATAAATAAACATGCCTTGCCAGCCATTAATTCATGACTCAACTCTTTCCCTTGTTTGTGGATTGTGACTTGGGCAGTGATAGGGAGAAGAAATAGTTTTCTTCAAAACAATTATTAGTTCTTTTCAAATTAAAATATTTGCTCTAGTTTATCATTTAGGCTTGCCTTTATAATTGTTATTATTGTTTCTTTCAATTTGTTTGATTTTTTTGTCTTCAAGATCACTTCATCCAATTATACACTACAGTCACATATTTTATTTTGCTTCTACTTTTCCAGTCATCACACATTAAAAAGCTATTCTTCCTGCACTTTAAAAGTATTTCATTTTAGAGTAACAGGACAAGGAGTACATGGGAGCTTCCTGTACATTTTGCAAATTCCTCTGATCTACAACTGCTTCCAAATTACAAGTGAAAAAATAAAAGAAAAAACCTCAAAAAAGTCAATCATGGGCATGATTTGTCAGTCCCTGTAGAATTAAAGGGTAAATTAAATTATATTTCTTAAGATAATTCAATAATTACATCCAGAACTATTCCATATAATTAACATTTTATTATATTATATATAAAATGAGAGCCTTCTCTAGCATATTGTTCCAAATTGGCACAGGTATTTTTCTGTTTATATGATGGCTTTCTCATAAGATTAGGAGGCTTCTGTTTTAACTTTGAGTCTTACATATAGCTGGTGTTCGATTTTGATGCATTCCCAAATCTGCTTCCAGTACATTTTTTTTACTGTCATAACTTTAAAAATTTCTTAGAAATGTTTTATAATTGGAACTTCAGTTCAGCAATAAACAATACATTTCATTGCTCTTCATTTGCCAAACAACATTTAGCAATGTTCTTGCTAATTTAATGTTAGAAAAGTCACCTAATCTTCTCCTTTTGGCTGTCAACATTTGGTTAAGCCATTGATTTTATTTCTTTTACTGCCTGCACACTATCTTAGAAGTGGATAAGTTGATCATTATATTCGCATGACTATTAATACCACCTGATAACAAAATTGAACAACTGAAATTTTGAGGTGATGACAATGGAAGATTCTATTACATTTTGTTTCTAAAAGTGAGTCTGTTGATCTTCTTCCACATAAATATCTTCTAGTCTTCAAAACCTATTCATTAAATAAAACTTTAAAAATAATCTCTTCATTCCTTTTCCTTAAAATATCAGATAATAATTCTCCATTCCTTTTCCTTAAAATATCAGATAATAATGTGTCTATGTTAAAGAATTTCTTGAAAATCTTCTTTTAAATTAATTTGACAAGCTTGTCAAGGCAAAATAAATAAGAATAGAAATGTAGATAATAGCTCTTCATATAAAATTAGTGCCTGTACTTCATATAAAATCAGTGCTTATTATAATGTAAATGTCAGCTTAATCTTAAGAACAGAATGATGCTTTGTCTCATATAATATTGACAAAAGTGGGTTTTTAAGAAGAAACACTATATAAAGAGGACTCTATAAGGAGCATTCATCCTAAAAACAAGGCAAGTGTGTTTTGTTTCCCTCTGAAACTCCTTAGTCTATTTTAATGTCTTAAATCTGCTTCAGTAAATCCTTTGTCTTAACTAAATAAATATCTCTTCAATATGAGAAGATCCTTAGAAGAGGTAATACATATGAAATTTGTTCATCTTTATCTTGCTGAGAATTATTTTTTAAAACAGCTGCAATAATGATCCTTTGTTCTTATTATTTTATCCCAAATTTTAATTTCATGTTGATATGATAGCAAATTAAAATTTTTTTCCATCCTTTATGGACTGTATTTTACTTTTCTGATCCATGAAAAATCTGAATTCCTCTGATATTTTGAATGTTTTGGTGCTGCTATATGAGAAAACTCAATGAAAGAATTATTCTAAATATACAATCTTATATTTTTCTTATCTTGTTACCAGTTGTAACAAGTTGTTATCTTGTTATCTTTTCTTATACTTGTTACTAGTTGCTGCGATTTGGAGTCAGCACATATATGTCTTTTTATGTGAAAACAATTGAGACTCATAAAACTGGATATATATAATATATATTTCAGACAGGAAAGAAGAAAACATGTGGAACCAGGTAACTCTTTTTAAATTCTTCTATCCTCTCAATTTCAAAATATTATTTAATTTGTAATCGGAAACTGAATTGCAATTGAATGGCATGGAATGCTGAATATTTTTCCTTTTCTTGTTTCATACAGCAAAGTCACCAAAGAAGGAACATTTAGGTAAGTAAGACTGGTAAGACTCTTTCTACCTGATGTCCAATGTTTGTAAATGCTGCCACCTCAGACAGGTAGTAAGGTAATGACAGAGAAGAGCAGATAATCCTTTCACTCTAGTGTTTTTTCAAGTTCATGACACAGCCCTAACATTAATGCAGTTTGAGAAAATGACAGCCAAATACGTTACACTCTTGCTACTCAGTGTGTGTTCTATGAACTAGCAGCATCAGCACCCTACACCTACCAAATCAGAATCTACCAGTTCACAAGATCCCCGGTGGATTCATTCATGTAGGGTTTGGGAAGCACTGTTTCACAGTGTGGTGTATAAACAAAACAAAACAAGAGCAGAGCATTTTATTTAAAATGCATTTTTATTGCTTTGCTTTTAAAATATGAAATATGCAATTCCAGTGAATATTCTCTCCCAATCTATAATATTACTTAATAACATTTCTTTTTTGCTCTAGGGAGTTGCAGTTAAGAGTAGAGGTAGATTTTGCCCTGAATATATTTATATATTCTAATGACAAAAAAAAAATTAAATTGAGAGTCAAACAACCAAACAAAAACTAAAAGTACAAATGCAGTGGGTATCAATACCAAATACATTTCTGAAAGTTTCCTAGTATTTAACCTGCCCAATTAATCATTTCAAATGAAAATTTCTGAAATTTCTATTGACCTCATTTAAAAACATCACTTGTTGATTTTGCATGGGTAACTTCTACTCAAAGAGCTTCACTGAGATTTCTTTGTGTTATGTGTGTGTGCACAGGCAGTCTGTTGTACTTAAAGTCCATTAGTTATTCTCAGTGTTATGTCAATAACCATGCAAATATAGATAAACTACAGTCCCATCCTTTCAAAAACCATAGTAAACCACAAGTTTGAAGCCACCTTTCATTTTCTTTTTTCAAGTTTATAAACTTCCTGAGACAACCCAAGTCTGTTTATACGTCTCTCCAACTAGTTTTCTTACCTTTATAATAGCACTTAATATAGTATTATAATCATATTATCTCTTCCCTTTTCCTGCTTTAAATAGTCAGAAATTAGAAGTTAGGGATACTTTTTACTTTTTTACCCCCAGAGTGCCTATTATACTGCCAGCACACAGTGGGCACTGGATAATGATTGATTAGGTGAAAAGAGAAACAGCAAATAAAATAATCGAGTTTTGTAAAATTTGAAAATTGAATGATTTTCAAATAATTTACAAGATGGAATAATGGCACATTTCACCATTTCACATTAACGGTCATGCTATTTAGCCTTTGGGAAGGGATAAATGTCTACTCTACAGATGACAGCCTATCTGTTCACAGGTTCATTCCCACAAATGTGACAAACACATATTCTCACTTATGTACATATGCAGGAAGCTAAAACAGAGCATATATCATAGAAACATGGAGAGACATACAGAATGACTACTGGTGTAACCAGTTTTAAGAGTTTTAATAGCTAAACATTACCGTCGACAAGTAAACCTGATAAAATATAGTAATTTAAATTACTTGAAATCATTATCTGCTCATTTTAGGGTGTGATTACACTGCAGCAACTTAGTAGTAATTAGTTTTATTTATAAAATTGAAATCATTGGATAATTTATCAAGTAAATTTATTCTTTTCATACCATTTGATAGGCTTCAAAGAAAATGCACTTGCTATATATAAATACAATCAGATCCTAAGATATTTTTCAATGGAAAACATAGTGAATGAGTCATGAATGAGGATTTTGTGCTCATTTTTTATTGATACCAACCAAAAAAAAATCTGTGATTCATGGAACATATTCAGAGGTTATCAAGAAAAATGATATAATGTTGTATTTTCTCTTTCTCTGATCTATTTTTTCTTTAGTTTCCAAGATTAACCAGAAAGGCTTTTAAACAGCTAAAATAACCTTAAAATTATTTTAGAAAGATAAGTAGACTTGTAATTAATGTAGATTGTATTATTTCTTGTCACTAACAGCTCCAAGTGAAAAACAAGTAAAAGCAAGTATGTTGAATAAAACTTTCAAAGATGAGCATATTTTAGCAGCTACTCTTTTGAGTTTTCTGCTATAGACAATGCTAATGCTAATTTTTGAGGCTGGCTTACCACTCACTTGATGTGATTATTTCTTGTGTTGAAATAATGTGCAAAATTACTCATCCCTGTCTTTTCTGTGAATACATTCTTTTAAAAATTTATTTATAGAGCTTTCATTTGTAAATGCTAATTTGTCCAGACCATAACCCCTTTTGAATTGTCTGTATTTTTGTTTCCAATTTTGCAGAATGATAAGAAATCTCTTCAGTTTCTTAAACACATCAGACTCAATTATCCTAACGATTAATCCCTGATCAAATCAGCAGGCAACATAATACGTCTACCATAAATATCATGTCTTTACTGAAATTTATCCTGCCAAAACTTTATTAACTACTACTTTTATAATGTCATAATTTTCTTTTAAGGTTGATATCCTTATATCATGAAATGTTGACTGATAACCATAACATACCATGGCATTTACATCAACGGTAGCTTTGACAATATACTTAGGGAGAAATGCTGATTTCTTTGCTCGTATTTCTCAGTTTGATGAAGTATGTGACAGAATGTCATTAATGAAAATTATTTTAAGAATAATAGAAAGTATTTTAGTTTAGGAAAAAATATGTTTAACTTTTCTATGCTTTGAATATAGGATTTATGGTCAAACCTCAGTTCTATGCATGATACAAATGTGCTTACATATTTTTGCAGGGGCTAGCGGTGCATAAGTATTGATAATGGTACTAATACATAAATGTGTATTTTATTTAGTGCAGAGTTATTGAGACAGAGTCTATCACTGGAGAATGTACCAGAGAGTAATTAAAAAATATATTGAGTAGATTGGTGGGCATGTCTTTTAAAAAATTTTTTCAATTGAAAGTACATACATATAGATCTTGACGACTTTAAAAGAGAGGCTTGACATGAATCTGAAACTCCATTTATGTTTTCATGAAAAATATCAGTTGAATGTAAAGCTGATTGGAACTCTATATCATGGAGTTTTCAGTGTGCTAATACTTTGTAGAAATACATAATCTAGAAAATGTATAAAACAAAACTGATAATTTTGCAGCACTAGTAGAGAATGTTAGATTGAAGATTATGCTAAAAATGAACATTTTCTTCCTAAAAAAGTGTGCCATATAGATAAAAATGTTCATTTGCAATAAAAAAAAAATCTGTAAGTTCCTCTGTCTATGAAACACACTATCCAATCAGGTTTGAAGAGATCGGCATCTTTAGCTGGATGTTAGTAAATTAGGTTGGCAATTACCTTAAACCTATTATAAAAGTTTCAAAAGAGTTAATATTCAACTCCCTATGTAGTTGAGAGATTTTGACTTGACATGGGAATTATCCTTTAACAAAAAATTAATTAGAGTTAATCCACAAATCATTTAATTTCTCTGATAACTATGTGAGCATCTATTTCCCCAGCTAAGAGCTGTTATTTGGCATTGATACCATACAACAGAAGAATATTGGACACAGCTGCTATGTACAGTGGATTATTTGTAAAGTTAATGCCTAAGGCAAAAATTACATATCATTATAAATACTCTTGAAAAGCCTTTAAATTCTGCATATAGTGTGGTACACATAGTTTTGTGTACGTTACCCACACATATGGATTATTGTTTTCCATTATCGTAAGGTATGAGAGCAAATTAGAGAGTAAAATGTATAGCTGAATTCATATAAATTGGGTATTTATGTGATATAATTCCATAGTATTGAATTTAAAAGCATAAGTGAGATTAACAGTGTTAGAGCAACTCCAAGGAAAAAGTAAAAGGAGCTTTGTCATTATCAATGGATCAAAGGAAATAAATAGAAGCTGGGTTGAGTGCATGGTGTGGAACTGTTTCCTTAGGTTGTCATGAGAAAACAACCAAAATCACTGGAGGAGAAATACTGAAGGACATAGACAAGCTTGGAAGCTGTATCAATTCAGAGTGGAGGTTTCATGATGCTATCTATGAGTTTGAAGAAAAAGGACACCTTTTAGGTTCAATGGTGCAGTGCTAAGAAGGGCACTTATTGCCTCTACGTTGAAAGTTGTGTGTTGGAGGTGGTGTGTGCAGAGAAAGAGCAACTTGGAGAAAGAAACGGGGTTGCCAAACCTGGACTGACAATTTCTGCAAGTCAATATAGACTCCTTTCTCTATCAAAACTGACTCAACATACCCAATTGCCCTTCCGCCAGTTCCCTGCATTTGCCTTTCCATACACTGGGTAGCAGCATAGAGGTTGATGATATGATTAGTCATTTCCAAACAGGAAAAGGACCAAACAAGTAGACTCTAGACTGTAGGGCATTTTAGATGTTTAACACTGTGCATGGTGAGCCTTCAAGAAGGAATGTGGTAGACATTGCTTACCAAATAGATTTGATCACATCACCTCCTTTTTCTCAATGACCACATTAGGATCAGTGTTTCTGAAGACCTTGGGTAGCCATATTACTGATCATATATTCCACATGCATGTTCAAACAGCCAGTGGTCAGTTTAAATTTTGAGTAAAATAGTCAACAAAGACCAGGTTAGGATAAAAGTCTCATCATTTTTAATTGTGAATGTAAATTTATGTGAAATGGCAATAATTAGGCATTTTTCATTCTTTGATCCCATCACAAATTTGATGGTATGCTCAGCCACTAAGCCTGACTGTGTTCATCACCTTAACTGCATTTCACCATCTAAATGTGCAAGTTACATAAGTAGCATATAATCTGCTAATATATGTCAGGATCATTTAGGAAAAGCTAGAATGTAGAATTTAAAAGTAAAGTCCTATTGAATTTATTCAGTTATGCAACATTAAAAGAATATTTGGGGACAATGTATATTACCAAAATGACATAGCTTTTGGACTCAATTTAAATACTCTGACATGGAAATTACTGGGGAAAAGGTCTATGGGTCTGGACCATCATGCTTGATATAAAATGGGGTGTATCTGGACCACATACGCAAACCAAATATGATCTTAATTGAGCTATGATCTTAGTCAGTTAGGACAGACTTGGTTTTACTATATTGTCCCAGAATAATTATGCCTAACACCTCTTTTCACTTGCGCAATTTTGGATACTAAATTATATGATCACTAAGCGCGTCCCAGAGGCTGCTATCAGAATATATTCACAGTACAGTGCCAGAATGATGATTGTAGGAGGCTTAAATACTAGGAAAAATGAGGATGTGAGAGACCTGAGGCTGACTTACGTGGCAGGGGAAGATCTGCTTCTTATTTAAGGTTATGTGTAAAGCTAAGGTTGGTGCCCTCGGTGCCAGCCCAAATTGAAAAATGTCATGGTATGGAGTCCAGGTATGTTCATCAAAGGTGTCTAAAGAAATCCAAGCTAGATAGAAGAATACTAGCAACAGAGAAATCTAAGTTCATTTAAGACATGAGGACACAGGAGAGAAGGGGAGAGGATTTCAAAGAAGAAGTCAGATATAAATTTCAGTATTAGGAAAATAAAACAATTAACATAGCAAAATGGCTCTGTAAAGCATAGCTGTTGATACCAGTCCATGTGTCCTGAGTGCTAGTTATAAAGTAGTATCTTAACATCTTATTATAAGGAGTAATATGGTGTTGGTGTAGGTATAACTACATTATCTAATAGAAAATAAAAGAGACTGAAAAATACATCCCACTTGAGCAAAAGTCTGACAGAAGAAAGATCGGTCATTTCTAAAAGTCAGAGAATGAATAGATTATTTTACAATGTTGTTGTAGTTCATATTCATTAGAAAAAAATATGATTTATCTTTAGTTTATACAATTCCAAGATACCAATTCTAGCTGGATCTAGGACTTAACTAGTAAAGGCAAAACATGACATTATTTTTTGAAGGCATAAGAAAATATACTTATATGGTCTCTTGAAGTATGAGAGAATTTGAAAAACTAGATGTGAAAAATTCAAGCCATAAATTAAAAAGCTGATATATTTTATTGTATTAAAATTATACACTTCAATTTATTAATAGATGCCATAAAGAGAGATAAAGGATAAAGTATAAACTTGGAAAAGATATTTGTAACACATGTAAGTAACAAGAGATTAGTAGCAAAAAACAAAATAGCAACAAGACAACTTAGTAGAACAATGGGCAGAAAATATGGGCAAAAGATATAATAAACAAGCATTAAAAAAAGAAAACACAAATGGCCTATAAACATATCAAAAGTTATTCAACCTCTAAGTAATAAGGAAATTTTACTTAAAATCACAATAGGATACTATTTTACACAAAGAAAATTCATTTTAAAAAATGGAAAAATATGATTATTCTGATGATGGTGATATGGAGCAATAGAAACCTGCATATATACTACTGATGTGAATGTGAAATTTTGGGAAACAAGAATGTGGCATTTATTTAGGAAAGTCAAACATGAGTACATGCTGTGGATCAGCAATTTTACTTCTAAGAAAATCATTCCACACGCATACAGGAGATATGTATACAGAATGTTCACAAAAGCATTATTTATAATAACAAAAAATTAGACATGACCTAGTGTCCATTGGCAGGAGACTAGATCCATAATTTGTAGACTATTTATACGGAGGAATCCTATACAGCAGTTAAAAATTAATCAACAGTAGCTGCACTTATCAACATGGCTACCTCTCCGCAAATCACTAGGATTAAACAATACAGTTCAATTTATATGAAGTCATATCACTAAATGATGTAATTTCATTTAAATAAAATGGTCTTACTTTTGTTTACAGATAAATACATGTAATAAAAACCTGTATAGGAAATAAGGAAATGATTAATACAAAATTTAGGACAACAGTAAGTCTGAGACAGAGGGAGAGGCATGCAATGGTAATGGGACAAGTTAGAGGTTTAAAGGGCCTTGGTGACATTCTATATCTTAAGCTTGAAGGGGGTTACAAAGGTGAGCATTCTTTATTGCCATTCATAAAAATGTGCAAAGGTGGTACATGCCTTTCATTCATATTATATGGTTCACAATAAAACAAGTTTAAAAAATAGAGAGTGAGAAGATGGCAGTGGTGATGCTGAGTGCAGCAGCTCTTTGGAGGCTGCCTGGAGCACAGGGAGGTGAGGTAGTCGGGAATGGCATTTGGAATGGCCAGGTGTGGCTGTCTGTGGTTATAAAGAATGAAAGGTTTTTGAGATGATGTGAAAGCATCAATAAAGGGAAAACTGACGAGGTAGCAGATAGAAGCAGTACTTCCAAGAACAAAGGCCTTAATTAGGCAACAGGAGATGAGAACCAGGAAAAAAAATGGAAGGATTAGTATAATCAGGGACAGGGACAGGGACTGATCATCCTTTGGGATTAGAAAGAAAAATAGTGTGGGGATATGTGCTGGTGAGTTGGTAGAAAGGTGAGGTAGTCTATCTGCATATATGTTTTCTATGAATTTCTCAACAGCATCTTACCTGTATGCTGCAGTATGTTTAAGGAGGGAAGAGGATTTGCAAACCAGTTGTCAAGAGAATGGGAAAGCAACTTTGTTGGGTCTACTACAGTATTGCTGGCCACTGTTGAGTGCTCTCTTAAGTCCTGTGATCAACGTCAGAAGTGAGATCTGCACCAGAATGGGGTCTTCCTCCAGTCTAGATGGCTGCTCAGTTGGCAGGCATAAAGTACATTTGGTGCTGTAGCAAATATACTAAGTTGAAATGTGTTCCCCCAAAAGACATGTTGAAGCCCTAACCTGGGACCTGTGAATGTGTTCTTATTTTAAAATAGGATCTTTGTTGATGTAATCAACTTAAGGTAAAGTCATGTTAGATAAGAGTGGGCCCCAAATCTGATGACTTCTGTCCTCATAAGAAAAAGGAAATTTGGAGACACATAGGCAAATGGAGAGGGAAGATAGCAATCTGACAATAACAGCAGAAATTGGGGTGATACTGCTATCAGCCAAGGAATACCAAGGATTGCTGGTAATGGCCAGACTCTAGGACACAAGGAAGGATTCTTCCCAAGAACCTTTACAGGGAGATTCTGAGGGTCCTGCCAACACCTTGATTTTGGACTTCTAGCCTCCAGAACTGTAAAAGAATGAATTTCTATTGTTTTCCTCTATCCCACAGTTTAAAGGCAGCCCTAGGAAACTAATAGAGCAGGTAACTATGAAAACAGAAAATAAGTGAGTGATTTAACTATGGCTCATTTATATATAAGATTGGTGAGAAGTAAACTGAGGACACATGGAAGATCTTGAGCAATGAGAAAGCAGTAAAATCAAAGGAATTAAAGTATTAATGGGGTCAGATATTATTTGGAGGGAGTTTTTGAGTAAATAAGCTGTAAAGGGAAAAAATGGTACTAGAGAATAGGATTTTTGAAATCAAAGTTCTGAGAGTAAAGGAAAAGTCCAACAATATATAGGTAGTAATGATCAGAGAAATGGGGTTTCTAGTTTCCTGAAGTGAGGAGGTGAAGGAAATGAGAGATCACATGGTTGTATGGATTGTGAGTATCAGAGCCCCCCAACCCTGGTTAAATGTTAGAATATCTTAGAAAGCTTGTAAATCTACCATTACCCAGGATTCTGTAGCCCACCTCAGACATCTGAATATCATAGCCTTATACAAATCCCCCAGCTTATTCTAATGTGCAATATGCAGTCAGGGTTAAGAGTGGTTCTTAATCAAATCCCACAGTAGTAACAGTGGAGAGAATGATAACTATGTATGGAAATATTCAGTGAATAACAGGACATGGCCACAGGTTGGTTGATGACAACAATAAAGAAGAGTAGAGCCTGGTGCACCCTGATAGCATGTCCTTCAAAGAACTGAGATTTGGAGGAAGCAAGAATATAATTTATAAAAAGTAATGAGAAGCAAAGAGGATATATACACCACTTCCAGAAACCATGGTATGCGAGGGTAGAAAAACAAACATTCTCCATTTTAGAAAACTGCTTGTAGGGGATGCAGTGTACTTAGGGAGCTAGTTTTCATTAGAGGAGGAAAATAAAGTGAACATTCTCAGAAGAGGCTGAGGATACAGGAGTGAGTGCTACTGATGGACAGAGGACACGAAGGAAGGGCTTTGGAAATAGGTCAGTTTTTAGAAGAAATACAGAGCCATATGGACACTGTTTTCTACTGGAAGGCTGGGACTCGTGGTAGTAACCAAAGTAAGCAGGGATGGGAATCACAGTGGAATTGGTCTCGATTAATTCTTAGGGGAAGTGTGGTAATCAGTTTCCACAGTGTGATCTAGATCAGTATCATAAGCATCACCTGGGAACCGATTAGAAATGCAGAAGCTGTGGTTATGCCCCATACTTTCTGGGCCCAGAATCTATGTTTTACAGCCCTCCAGGGTAATTCTGAGGCATGCTGAAGTTTGAGAATCATTCTTCTGAAGTCTTTACCTAGAAGGTATAAAATGGTTAGGGATCTGTTAAGTTCCAGAGCTCAAGTTCTTGAGACAGCTCAAAGAAGAGGATATTTACATGGTTTCTTGCCTAAACTTAAATTTTGAGTCTTATGGTATCTAACGTTGTGGAATCAAAACCAGTTGTGATGCAAGGGCCTCCTTCTGATGTCTGATCTCTCTCATAGCCCAGTGTCTTGTGGCACAAGGAGGACAAGGTGTTTGAAGACTCTTCTTATTTGTTTTTTCTCAGAGCCTCAGCTTCTTAGTATATATGGGTGAAGGGAAACATATACAAATACCAACAAGAATAAATACAAAATATATATATGACCAAAGAGAACAACCTCAACTAATAAAAATTTATAAAACGAGTAAATAAAACTTTGTAAAAATTCACGAGCTCATCACTTATTAATTTTGTTTCTTTTCCTATGGGCTAGAGAAAACTTCGACTTTAATCAGCCTTGATTTGTGGTCCAACATTTTCTACTAGGGCCAGCATTTCAGACTATGTCTTTAGGGTATCTTTCGTCTTCCACACTAGATATTCAAAGAAACCTAAGAAGCCTTTTTTCGCTATTTTTATTCTCTTTCTCACTCCTTTTTCCTCTCAAAGCACCATTCAAATGGAATTTTCTACAATATTATGGCTAACCTTATACAATGTAAAGTTAATTGATTGAAATCAAATACTCTTTGCCCTTAATCATTATGAAAGGCTAAACCACCTTTAACTGCCCCAATTATAATTAAAGGCTAAACAGACAAAGAAGGCATTTTAAGTGCTCTTCCATAAAATCCATGTATCACTTAAGATTTCACTGTAAACCAACAAATTAGTATGCTATTGTATCTTGTGGAATAATCTACCTTCTTTGATGGTCACTGGTTATACAAGAATACAATTGTAATATTGTGGAGTGGTACCTTAAAAGAGAGTTTCTGCATTGTTATTTAAGAAAGTTCATTCATTTTTTTAAAAAAATACAAGCACTTTGTAGTTTGGCTTTCTCTGCAGCTTGCTTTGCTTTCAGGTGCTATATATATTTTTTCTCTTGGTTTGTTTTATTCTAGTCTGACTTAAAATAGCATGAGATATCGATCTGGCATCACTTATATCCATTTCTCATTCCTTTAATATCTGAATTTGCAGAAACTGAACGAGCCAAAGAAGTTGGTGCTGTCTCAACTAAAAAAGGTATATGCAGCTTAGAGATAAAAATGTCATGACTATAACTTATTTCTGCTAAGATTTCTAAGTTAACATATTGTTTTATGCTTATAGAAGATATGTATTTATTGATTTTACTATTTTATTGATACAGAAACAAACCGACTTTGCACAAGATTTATAGTATGTAAGGAGGGTTTGTCGGTAGTGTTCTAATACAAATAGATCTATTCCTTTAGGACCATAAATTAAAACTAGCAATTATAGTGAAATTGTAAGTTAGTTTTTGAAAAAAATTGTGCAAATATAGCAGTTTAAATTCAGTAGGATCCTAGTCATCAAGAGAATATTCAAATTCAATATACAGCCCTAGGAGATTAGGGCTTGAACAAATGAAACTTTGACTAATGGAACTCAAGGGAGAAATGTTTACTTTGTGCAAAAATACTATCAAATTAGGAAATGTATTTTATGAGACACTGACTTGGGAACATTTTGCTTTAAGAAACATATTGGAATTTGGAATGAAATCAATAATGTATCCAATGTCTTCAGAAATGTACCAAGAAATAATTTAACAAGTTTATCCTTAACATACACTCACATGCACACACACACCCGCACCCACCCACACACACATAAACCTACACACATACTCTTACACAATACTCCATTAAAATGACATAAAATCTCCTCCTAAAATAACTATTTTATTGCATATGCTCTATAAACAGAACATGTAACAGGATTATAAGGAGATACAAAATATATATGATACATATCCACATGCTCAATCCCGAAGAATTTATACATATAAATATACATGAACATAAATTAATATGTAAATGTATATGTTTGTTTGTTAGTAAATAAATTATAATATAAATAAATATATTAGGTAATATATAAGTTAATATGTAAATTATTATTATATATACATATATATGTCTAAGGGAAGACAACAAAAATTAAATAAAGATTCTTAAAGAAAATATGAACTACAATGTAAGATAATAATTAAAAGCAATTAAGTTATTGAAATTAATGGATGTCCTCTTTCAAATTCAGCTCTATTACTCTGAATTTACAGTAAATAGGAATATAAGCTGTTTCTTTGTCATTTTTTCCATATAATCTAATATTTCTGATGTCATTTTTAAGGTAAGTGATCACAATACATGTTTCATTGACATCATTTGTACTTTAAGTGGCAGAGTCATGAATTTACCAGAAGTTTATATTAATGTGTTTTCTTCTTTTGTGGTCATTCTGGAATTGACATTGCTCATTGTTATTAAGTGAAATGTGGGTTAAACCTGGTTGCTTCAGAATGGATAATCCATACTCACATGAAAAGGCTAAGGTATTAATATAGACTCAGAAAAAGTCATTAATGTAGTCATGGATACAGAGTATAAGGGCCCAGTAAGTGGATTTAAGGCCAGGGCATTGATTTTTGTTGAAAGAAAGATCAAAAGTATGGCCAAGTTATTTCATAAATTAGTCAAGACTAAGACCACCAAGATGTTTAGACTGCAGCAGATATATTTCTTCTGGAATTAGATTTTGGATACTGAGCCTTAGGGAATCCATGACTGTGGAAGACAGTTTGGGAACAGTTAAGAAGCAGAGATTGAACTGCTGGTAGCTGGCTCATCCACAGACTCTGAATCAACTGGAGCCTCAGTATTCAGGGTGGAAATACAAGCACACATAGTTTGGGGTCCAATCAGGTCAAATTGGAGTGAGCAGAAAGACAAACTTGAAACTGAACCATCAATTAGTGAACTTGCCCAGAGACTTCAACCATGAATGATAACTGAGTTTAGAGTACAGTGAAACATTTTGGTTGCAGTTAAATAGACCTGCTTGCCAGGCTTTTATAGGAAAGTAAAAGGAAAGAAATAATCTGTTTATAAACATAAATTTTTGCCACCCACTACTTTGCCTCTAGTTGATCGTAGATCTCATACCCCAATTCCTAATTTAAATATGATTCTGCATATTGGGTTTTTCTGCAACTATAAAATGAACAGAAACAAATGTTTCTTCCAAAGGTACCATAAATATTTTGAAACTCATGTTGGGTTGGGCTTTACCAATTTGACAAATCACAAAGAAAATTAAAGGAGACTTTTCTCATTTTTTGAGTAAATTGTTCACCCTCTACCCCCTCACTGACAATCAGCCACACATGGAAATATATATTGCTTTCCTCATGTATGTAGTGTCCAGTCTCCAAACTCTACAATACTTAGCATACTTTACAGCATGCCCATCTTCTCATCTTCCACAAATAGGTAGAATAAGAAAGTAATTTGGGAGTTATTTTTGTTTTAAAGATGTTATAAAATCACTCTTCTAAATTGAGGCTTGAACTAGGAAATGTGTGAAATGTTAAGTGGATCATTAATTTTGTGATTGCTTCAAAATTTTTGAAGTTAAAGAATAATTTAATATTTTGAACTAATTATAATGTGCCAACTTATACCTAGTATAAATGATATTATCTGAAGCCTGCTTTTAAGCCTTTTTTTCTTTGGAGATACACAGTATTTTATCATCAATATGATATTATCTTACTAATTTATATTTGTTTTACACTTTGAAACTTTCTAATAATTTTCACTTTCATTCAGCATGTATTTATGAATCATATACTATGAAGAAAATCAAAGAAAATCTTAAATTTTATTATTGTTCTTGAGCAATTTAAAGTACTGAAAAAATACAAATTTTTATTGAGTCAATAATTTGGCTGATATTTTTACTATCAATTGAAAGTTTTCCACATAACCATAGTTCAATATTGAAAGACATCAGAGTAGAGAGATAAATATAAAGTGCCATAGGCATTTAAAATTTATTCTTACCTGGGGAAAATCAAAAGTTTTACCATAAAGGTGACTTTAGAGTTAAGCCTCACATAACAGATAGGGTTTTGCTATGTAACAGTGAGTTGGAAAGATATCTTGGGCATATATAACAGAGCAAGACAAAGTGATGAGAGTTTGCAGAATGTATATGAGGAACAGCAAGAGTCTCGAGAACATGGTATAAAGTAATATAACCTGAGCTAATAATGATGTAAATGGGCTTTATTTTAAGATTTTATTCTATCCCACAGGCAATAGGGAGGCAATGAATAATTGCATGACTAACATTAATACATTTACTTTAGGAAGATTAATTCAAAAAGGAAAAATTTGAAATAGGCAGATGACTAAGCTTTCTCAATAATGTAAGTGATAAGTGTTAGGACCTGGACTAAGATACTAGTTATGAGACTAGAAAGGAGGAAGATTATTTAAACACTATTATAAAAATAGATTCAATGGATTTTCACAACTGGTCAGCTTTGGGAGAAAAAAAGAGAAATGATTAAATGACAATAATGTTTTTTAGACTGGCTGCTAATAGGATATTATTGGTATTCTTAACAAAAAATAAGAAGAAAATGAAAAATCATTTGGAGAGGAAAGAAAAGATTAATTTTAGTATATTTATATTAATGTGCTAGTGGCCCATGCAGGTACCATCACACAGGCGGTTCTAAAATTAAACTGCAGTTCCAGATGGTGGCAAGGCTGGGGATGTATAGATGGGTGGCCCCCACATGGTGCTAATGATGAAAATGGTGCGTGAATGAGCTTTTCATGAAGAGATGAAGGACCATTTACATTTGGGGGGAAAAGTACAAGATGCATCAAAGAGAAAAGCAGGAAAAAAATAACTACAGTGACTCTAGGAAAATGAACCTTGTCAGTAGCAAGGTTGTGGTCACCAAGTCATTGGATTTGTCAGCTACATAATTATTAATTATTTTTAAAAGAGAATTTTCAGGGAAATAGCACACATAAAAGCTAAAGGGTGACAAATTGAATGAGGGAAGAGGAAGTGAAGGATATGGGCAATGATGCTGAAGGAAGCTGGCTGAGAATAAAAGGAGAAAGAGAATAGTAAGTAGCAGGTGTTTTAATTTAGTCTCTGTCTCTCTTTTAATCTCAGAGGTAAAGCATTTCTCTTTCTCTTCAAGACCTATTTCTCCAGTTGTGCTCTTCTTAATCTGTCATCATTCTGTTTTGTGGCATCATCCTCTTTCTCCTTTCTGGCTTTGTCCCTCATCTTGGAAATACATTTTCTCAGCTCCAAAATTTCTTTTTCTTGATTCCGACCTTCTCGCTGCCACAGCCACCATTTTCTTTCCTTCAAGTGTCAGCCAGACTTCTGAATGCTAGAGTGCTAACAATTGGTTCTCTCCTGCAGAGATAAAGCTTCTTTCCCCACCAGGGGGCTGGTGCTCTGGCTAGTGTGATGACATTCTTCCTGCTGCTAAGCCAATGGAATCATCCCAGTCCTCACATTGCTAGATTTCTTAGTTGCATTTAGCACTTTGTCTCTTCTCTAAACTTCTCTATTATTGGGTTACCATAGCATTATAGTCTCCTGGTTCTCCTCATTTCTGACCTTTATTTCTGGCTCCTTTGTATATTTTTTTCTCAGTTGCCCCTTGATTATTGGTGTTCCCAAGTTTCCATTATTAATTCTCCACACTTCTCATTTTGTACCCTCTCCTAGTGAGATAGCTTTACTCTCAAGGTTGAAACTCTGCCTTATATCTTGAAGTTTTTCAATTTTATATTCCCATATCAAAAACCTTTCATGAATTTCAGGCTTATATGCTCAACTGCTCAATAAATACCTTCAAATTCACCTTCAAATCCAACCTGTCTTAACCTAAACTCCTTATTCCCTCCTCCCAACTTGCTTTTCATCACCAAGAGTAAAACCACCATCCATCTTCTACCTCATTGGTAGAAGTACTACCAGTATTAGGGTATTACATCCTAAAATAAGATTGGAAGAATGAATAGGACTTAACCTGTAAAAGTAGGATGATTGTGTTTTAGGCAGAGGTAAATAAAATAGCAGCTTCAGTTTACTGAGTTATGTGCCTGACACTGGACTGATCTGCTTAATTTTTCTTTTATTTAGGTCTGAAAACAACCCTAGTAGCATTATCTGCACTTTCCACTTAAAGAATATGGCTCAATGTTAAATAATGTGTACTCATTTCTGTAGCAATTCAGTGGTAAAACTAGACTATCTACTCTAACTCATTGCCCCTTCTTCTAGGACACATAATCCTCTAGAATAACAAGAACTACGGTTGCTCACCAAGGGAACTTGGTAATTCAAGACTAAACCACACAGTTGTTTTCTAGTTGTAACTCAGTTGTGGGAATTCTTCATGCCAGGAGTATCTTAGGACTCCTGCCATTATGATAGCATTGAAGGCCAAGTTGTCTTTACCTTCCCACTGTCTTAACCCTATCACTAACCCTAACCCTAACAAAAACAGCAAAATAAGGAACACAGCATTCATGGGCACTTACCCTATAATATCTTCTGTTACATAAGATTTCTTCACAGGTGCAATTTGTGAGGCTCATAAATATATTAATATTGTTGCTTTTTAGTTTAACACCTTTCTCATTTCAGAGTTATATGGTTTACTCTATTTTGGAGATCATGACTTGGTAACAATAGGCTACTTTCTTGGAAATACCGGATTTTTTCTAATGAGTATATATTCAAATATTTAGGGTATCTTTTTTTTTTCAACCAGATATAATCAAAGGTGAAATTCATCTATTTTTTAATTTCTTCCTTCTTTTTTTCCTTCTTCCTTCCTCCCTCCCTTTCTCCCTTCCTTCCTTCTTTTCACTTTCCTCTTTCCTCCTCTCTTCTTCTCTCCTTTTTTCCCTCTCCACTTTCTCTTTCTCTCTTTATTGTTGATTACATTGACATTTTGAAAGATCAGGGCCAGTTACTTTGTAGATATTTTTGATTTGTCTGACTATTTCTTCAGAATATTATTCAATGGGTTCTCTAAATCCTACATTTGATTAAATAGAAAAACTAAACATTTGATTAAACAGAAAGCTAAATATCAGGCTTAATTGGATTCTAGTTAGATGCTTTTTAAGAATACTTCAGAGGCAATACTCTACACATCACACTGCATCTTATCAAGAACCACAGGAAATCTGTATGTCTCACAATGAAGAGATGGTTATAAGTCACATCAAGAGTTAAGTTGGTGACAGCCGCATTTCTTCATTTCAAAGTTGTATTTTTCCTTTGCAGCTCTGTGTAGGGGGTACTTGGGTACAATGGCAATAGTTAGTACCCCATCAATGCTTCATCTAATGGTTGCTAGTGTCCTCTGAAGATTGTTGTTTTAATCAATTATTTCAGTGGGATGCACTGATTTTATGTGAATAATTTCTACTGTTTTGATGTACAAATAAGTAAACAGTGAATACTCAATTGAGAGCAATAATCTTGGAGAAAGCAAAGTTGAAGGGATAGGGTACTTAAAGGATTCTCTTTTGGTTACTGGTGATTTGGGTTGGCTTCATTTAATATTTAAATTAATCTCAAGCATGACTACACTGTTCTTTCAGTTGATTAAGCCACGTTAAGCTTGAATTTAAAGAAGCATTTAGTTGACATTTGCAAGACACTAAGTGACTACAGCAATAACCTAGAATGTAAGTAGATTAATCATAGTCCTGTAAAGTGGAATTCTTTGCAGAGCTTGTTTATCAAAGCAGAATATAAGGAATAAAGTAGATAAGAATATAGAAAATATAGAAGGTGGCCAGGAATTATTACTTTTTTCACCAATTCTTTAAAATTAGATATAAAACAGGTTTTAGTTGCATTATAGAGAGACGAGAATGTTTCAAAAGCTTTACAATAGCTTGTTTAAAAGAAATACTTGGTATCAATGAGTTCCAAAACAATTTTTTGACCAGATGCAGTATTTCTGTCTAGAACTCTTATTTAAACCTTATCTTTGCTTTGCAGCTGTACCTGGAAAGAAGGAAGAGAAAACAACCAAGACAGTGGAGCAAGGTAAAAAAAAATGAAGGAGGTTGACATTATCTTCTTTAGAAAGACAACAACATGCGGAGGAAAGCACTGGATTCAGACAGGCGGAAGACAATAACCTTTAAATCTATTGCTCTATATCACTGTCCTTGCATGTTTCTCTGTGCTAGGGAAAATGTGAGACAGCAATCTGGGTTTGTCTTTCTTTTGTGTAACTAAATCTTGAGAATAATTTCAGAACAAGAAAAGTCCCCAAACTGCTTAATTAAATCAGGAGAAATGCCAGAGGTTGTTGAGAAGGAATGATTTGGGGCAACTGGTAGATATGTTTCTGTTTCATTTGTGATTGCAACACCACCTCACTGACCATAGTTTGAAGAAAAAAGATAACCCAATCCTATTTATGCAAAAATTATTTTATGCTTGAAAATAATATGTAAAAGTTAAAACAAAAGAAAAGCAACAACAAAAGTAAGTTATTTGAGTTTATATTATGACTTCAGCATTTGAATCTCCCAAGAGATCTGAAATTTCAATGTTATAAATAATAATAGTATGAAATATTTATGCATTATATTTGCAGCATTATATACTATGCACATCACTTCAGAATGTTTAAGAAAAATGCTACGGTACATTAGACTTAAAACATTTAAAGTGATGCTGTACCTTCTCTGAGAGTTCAAAGTGAGCTAATGATTTTAATTTTTGTTCTCCCACGCCTCTGCTTTTACATAATAGTGTTATATTTATTATAATGAATAAAATCAGAATTAGTAACAATTGTGTCAGGAACAAAGTCAAATTTGTTTTCCCTTCAAATTTGAGATGCGATTAAATTTCTAAAATCCTGATATTAGAAATTTATAATTTTTGATATTAATGTATCAAGAAAAATCCTTCAAACCCTTACATGGCAGATAAATAAACTAATGTTAAGAAATCAATTAAGCAAAAAGATTGGTTAAGGATTTATTTCCCTGGGATATTCAAAATAAAACTCCTTTATAATCACATTGAAATAGTTTTCAATTCACTGTGTCTCTTGGGGAATACCAGAAATTTTAGAATTCAATAGAATATTTCTGTTAATGTATTTTTGAAGAAAAAGGGATCCTTTAATCTCTGAAATATAAAGTAGGAACACTGGAACCCAGTTTCAACTAGTTCACTTATGCAAGTTTCTGAGATTAAATTTCTTGATTTAAAAAATAAAGATAATTATACCTGAGCTGCTTCTTGTCTGACAAGATGTTTTATAGGTAAAGCAAGAAAATATATGATATAAAAAACTTAAACATTTCTGGATAAGCATTTGCCATTTACTTAGGAATTTTTCCTTATAAAATCAATTCAATACACAAGGGATTTAACTTATCAAACCCTTTTGATTTCATTGAGCGTCATAGTTTTTTTTTCCCTCTCTAGTATAAAGGTGTTGATTACTCATGACATTTGTAAATTGCTTTTATAGCCACAGCATATTGAGAGAAGATTGGCTAGAATATAAAACATCCACACTAATAATAGCTCCTAACAGGTAGCTGATTTGAACACAGATTGTTTCTTTCTTTTTACCATGCATGTTGATGTTACTTTCATTATTTCTGTAATGGTTCCTCAAGTAGACAAGAGACTGGAAATGGCTCTTAGAAATGTGAACTTACTCCTTCAGATGATTTTATCATTTATTTTTTACTAAAATTACCTTTTAACTTTTCAAAGTTTAGGTTCTTGGCTTGTGTAAAAGAATGAGATATTTTCAATGGTTCTTTTTATATTGATAAATCATTTCAATTTTAATTATTTTATGGCAGTAGCCTCATACTTTTCAACTATAACAATCATAGGAAATAGTGAATTTAGGTATCTTAGATATTTTTGTGATAGTGTATCTATGACTACCACTTGATATAAAAATAGATATAAAAACAGGGAATGTGTGAATAAATCATAAATAATTATATTATGCACATTTTCTCAGAGTATTCTAATATTTATTTATGATGCTTTAAGAGTATTGTGTACTTTTCTTTCTTATGTGGCTTTTAGTTATCTTCAGAACTATAAATAAAACTTGTTCATAATGCATTGAAGTACAATTAAATAGTCATAACAGATTTATTTTTATTTATTTAAGTTTGAACATGTGGACTTCATTAGGAAAAAACTATATAATTTTTATTATTTTTAATAGATTTTAAATACAATTTGTGATCTAACTATAATTGTGTATCTTAAACCTCTGGACTTTACATTACAATTATACTTGGGAAACATTAGTTAAGCTAAACTTTACATTTTGGGAAATCCATATTGTAAAAGTTGAATAAATTTTATGTTAATGTAATTTAGTAAACTAGATCTTATAACATGTAGGAAGAAATTTAGTTAATCTAACTCTAATACTCAAAAAATTCACTCTATTCAATCTTTAATTTATGATGAATCATGTTTTTCAATTGTTTTTTTTATTGAGGATCTCTAATTGGCTAGACTGCAATTTTGAACATTGGAAACACTTTATAAACTCCTCCACTTAAAGACACATGCATATGCACACATGTGCATCCCACCTGCACCCCACCACACCATTAACTGTTCCTCCTTTTTTAGAAGCAACTACCTGGAAGCATCAGGATACTTCTCAACAAATGTTTTCCACAATAAATGTTGCTATTCTTATAGGGACAACCAAGGGAGGCCAAAGATAAAAAATTTACGAACAATTAGTACCCTATGAAAATTCATCTTTATACATTTGTATATTATATCTGAAAAATGTACATTGCATTTCATTAATGCAATGACTCACTATTGGATATTAATACAAGTTGCTCATTTGTTGATATTTATTTCTCATATTTAATTGTATATTTTCCTCCTTGGTATTCTTTTTCAAAATCAACCTGCCCTCCTAAATCCCATTTCCTTGTCTCTCATTCAATCTCTGTCTCTCAGATGATAGTCTGTAGTAAGATTTGCTTTCCACTAGCTGGGAGGTGGCCAAGAGAGTCATGGTAAAGCAGCATTCTACAGAAGCATTATAGGGTACAGAAGACCAGTCAAGACAATTAACTTTAAAGATCTGAGTTGTAGGTTGGAATTCCAGCGTCTGCCCATTTTTGCTTTTCTTCCTTCAAAGTGATTTAAGTCCAACAGTGAAAGCATGAAATAGTTGTAATTTAGTTCTAAATTAAATCACTTGAAACTCACCTTTCTTTTTCTTTCTCTTATTCACATACATGCATGGTATCACTTGAGACTTCCTTTAATCTGACATACAATAAATGCTCAATAAATGCTTGTAGGGTAAATGTAAACGTAGAGGAATTTTTGAAGGAAGGGATATTAGGTGATCGGCTTTCAACAAATTGTGGTTTAAATATCATGTACCTAAGAAAATATTTTAGTAAGTTAAAATGAGGCTTCCAATAGTAATGATTGCCAAATATTTCAGAAACTAGACAATAAATTGTTGAATCCTTCCTCTATTCCCATTTTAAATGGAAATAAGAAAGAAAAATTGATAATTAAGTATGACTTATTCATTAACTACATCCTTATTATAATATTTGCACATGGTATTCTTTCTTAACTGCATGTGGTGAACAGTCATCATATGGACAAAGATATTGGAAAATTTAAATTTTACTAATTACAGATATTATATTGTGAATTTATTTTAAAAAAACATTAGAGAAAATGTTAAACAATTATCTAATTAGGCCGAGATAGCTGTCTAAATTTATAAAATTTAGGTCTTGTCCTAGATTTTTAAAATTTTTCTAACTAGATTTTTATAACTAGAATTAGATGATATCTAATATTCCTTCCAAATGTAAAAATTTTCTATTCAGTAAGTTTTTAAATAGCATGCTCCTTACATCAGAATATAGAGGCTATTCCTTTTTCAGAGTAAGGCTGGTTTAGAAAGAATTTTATTTATAAGGTTCTGAGAGTCAAATGTTAAGGAAGACCAAATTTCATACATTTAAATATTCATGGATAGTTCAGTATCTCAAAATTAAGTTTAACATTTCATTATAAAAATATTAAGTATAGTTTTTCATTCTTTTAACAATTAAAAATCACTTTAAAAGCCAGCTGAGTAGAAACATGACAAAAATATTTTAAAAAATTAAATAGAATTTGATTGCCTAACTATCACAAATAAATTTGAACACAATTAGTAATGATTTTATTAAGGATAAAATTGGAGAGTGTGGATCATAAATATACCAGAGTTCATTTACTGTAATAAAATATTCAATTTTGCGTTAAAAATGTTTCAAAATTCATAAACAAGCTAATCTGTGTCTCCCCGAAGAGTTTCTATCTTTCTTTGCCTTTGATGCTAGTATGCTATTTTGTAACAATGATACCCTCCATAATTGTAATAATGTTTTAAATTGTCACAATGGCAGGTAAAACACAACTGCTATTACATGCTTTGTATATTTGTCACTGTCCTCTTTAACTTATCAGATTCTTCTATTCATTGTGCATACACTGATTCTTTTAAAATCTGTGATGTGTACTGATTACAGATGTATCCCATACTTTCAAGTGAATGTTAATAATATCTAAGATTAATGATTTCCCTGAGAGAAACTTATTTATTTGAATAATGAATGTTTATGTTTCCTGATGTATCAAAGTTATTAAAGAAAAGAGAAACAATTTTACATTTAAAATCAATGGAGTAAAACTGAAGTTCTAGTTAACACAAATTGTATTTAAGTATTTGCTTCATATGTGATTATAAAATAACCTATCTGCACATGTTAACTAAGTCATGCTGTTGACCCTCAATAAATGTTAAATGATAATAACAAAAAATATTATTGATTCCTTTCAATTCAAAATTTTTTGACAATAGTTTGTGCTTTTGTTGTTTAATATTTATTGAGCGCCCACAACAGGCTAGGCGCTTGGGAATGGGTATGAAAGGTCTGGAGTGGGCTTCATAGAGAAGACGGTCTACATATGGAGACAACACATGAAAATGAGTGTACTCTCCTTGTTTATGTATTTTATGTACTTTCAAGAGAACCTTTAGCAATTCTCCACTGTCTCACTTGCTCACATAACACATTCTATTTCTTCTTACTCTTATTTTATTTAATACTTTTAGTTTATTATCACAAATATTTTATTTCGTTTATGGAAAGTTTCTTTCTAGTTCCTCCTTTCTCATCTTCCTCCCAACTCCTCCATTCCATTAATAAACAGACAGATCTGAATCCTACTTATCACAACAGAACAACACTTAGTTACTCAAAGTGTTTGTATACCAGTGAAGCTCATATTGTTACATTAGTTTCCCACAGAGTGCCACCTTCTGCCAAGCAACATGTGATTCATGTATTTATTGGTAGGATTGTCATTCGACACCAAAGAGAATTTCAGCCCAGAAAATGGATAATGTGTGTCAATGAGGTTGGTGAGATTTGGAGTCAGTGCTAAGAGATGTTTCTGCACATGCATTATTGCTGTACCTTTTTCTTCCAAAAGTTAAAAGTTCTTTATTATTAATGATCCATTTTCTCTAATAAGCTAATATATAACTCGATCAGTCTTACTTTATGCAGAATACACTGTGGACATGTACAGGTCACACAGAGAGATACTTATAATGTCCATGAAAATCTTCTGCCTTTCAATTGCCATGAAAATGAACCACTCGTCTGTTCAGTGTGGCCTCTGTGTCCATTTTTTTTTTATTTTCTTAGAAACTCTAGGCATTTTGCAGAGAAGCACACAAAGTTATAAGATTACTCCAGGAACATTTCCCTCACCCTGCCTTCACATTTTCTACTGGGGTCACTACCATTACCACCAAGGATCCTCAGTAACTATCAGGGTAGAGGAACTGGTAGGTAGACAGGCTACATTACATTACCTGGCATTACCAGGTATTAGACAGCATGCCTAGGAGCAATATGGCCCTCCTGTACTGCCTGCATTCTGCCCATTTTATCATTCAACAATATAGCTTCCTAAGGGAAATGTTATCAGTCTTTTAGGTTTTTAAAATAACAAAATTTTTACATCAAATGTGTACTCTTGCTTTACCTATCTTACAATTCTTAAGCTTTGTTCTGATTTAGCTTCCAACAGCCTTTTCGTAAAACCAATAGAATGCAAATATAAACCTTTCCTTAAACCCCAGTCAAATCTAATTGTGAATATATGAAGAAATTTGTCCTGTGAACTCTGAATTTAACAATGCACTTCAGATTTCTTTTGACAATACTTTATGTAATTTCAAGTAATTTTAAAGCTATACAAAGCATATATGCTTGATAATTGTCTACATCTTAATATTAGGTTGTTGTTTCTTTAAAATATTGTTAAATCTGTAATAAGCCGTTTTCATTCTCATCATAAAGAAAATTGTCTTAAAAATCCTATTTCTCTCATAATACAAAATTTGATTGCCATCACCAGGATTTTGCATGTAAAAATAATTTTAAGTATTTAATATTTGAAGATTAAAATTTTCTTCTCTAGAGAGGACAATGAACTTTTATGTTCCTTTGACATTCTAAACTAGATTACATAAAAGATTGTGAAAATGCATTGTAGTATTTAGCATACAACAAAACAAGTGAACATTTCCTATGAGCTCAAGAACATTTTTGAGCTGCTGTTTTTTTTTATTATTAATATTTGCTTCCACTCCTGTTATTATGTTGAAGATGCATAGGGTTTGGATCCCGTTTTTCCCTTGGGAATCTTTAATGGAAAGTATATTACAAGCTGCTACATTACAAAGCTGAGTGGCCAGTGCAAAGATGGTTTTCTGAGAATTTTCTTTCCTTTTCATTGACTTTTTTCTTTTATTTACAGATTGGTTTTCCACTAGAGTCTTGGTTAGAAAGAAAATCATTCACATAAACATACACTATCTTGAATAATATTGCTTACAGTCTATTGCTATGCCACATTCTGGAACAAATTAATGAAGTTTAAGCTTCATACTTTAGAAATTAAATTAAAGAAATAATCTGAAATCATCAGCCCTGTATAAAAATGCATTGCTACTTTCTTCTCATTATAAATTAAATTACACATTTTAAGTGAAATAAGTTCATGAATAAACATGAAAATTTTATCAACATTCTACATAAAATTTACTTGTACCTTATTGACTATTACTGTCTCAATGTTCATTGAATGAAGATGTATTATAAGCCAAGTGCAAACCAATTCTTAAAAAGTCAAAATTCAACTCAGATCTTTCTTTAGGATTTTTGAATGGCAAAATATTAGCTTAAAAGAGGTTTCTTCATCATTATGACTTGCAAAGTCTGGGTTTTATTCGATTTACTTTTTATACAGGAAAAGAAACTCAATCAAAAAGCCCAGGCAAAAGATCTATATTCTTATTAAAAGTCTTGACAATAAAAATCATAGTGAAAAATTCTTAACTTAGAGTTAGCACTTGTAACTTCGGTCTTTGAGGCGGTAGTAATTGATGAGAGCCAGTGACAATTATAAAATATTAACCTACTTGAACAATAGAGTACAGAGCCACGTCAAAATAAAACTTAGGGCTTGGTCTAACCCCGCCAGTAATTTGTTCTGTGAGTTGTTTGCCTTCCCCAAGCTTCTTTCATAAGCAAATATTATTCTATTTAGCCATCTCTAAAGAACTCTCTGGTCCTAATATTGCATAATTCTCATTTGTAAGGAATGTGTCCCAGGACTGAAACTTTTCCACTTGCCCCAGAAGCTGAAGCATTCACTTTGTTTTCTGATTGAAAGTACAAGCTGTGCAAATGTTTCATGAATCAATATGAAAAAATGTTTCATCAATAAGAAAGTGAAGATTCAGATTCTAAAATGAAAATATTTTAAAATATTGTATAAATCTACTAAATGGAATGATAATATTCAAAGTATTTACAAATGTGTTACATTATACTTAAATTTCAAAATATATCTCAGGAACAAAGCATGCTATTGGATGTCAAATTAAGTGACATAAAGATTCCCTAATATAAAATTAAGCAGGAAAATCAATAATAATGGCACATAAGATATAAAATTTATGCCCGTAACATGCAAAAAAGTAACTATAAAAAATGGAGCAGAAGATGTTGTCTCTGGAGATAGGACACTGTGGATAACACAGCTGGAAGTGACTGGGGTCTTTGATTATTTTTACAAAATGGCAATAATGACTTTCTATATATTTTTAGTCAGT